GAGGTGCCTATATCTCTGGCCTAATGATGCCCGGATTTAGCCCATGTAAAATCGGTATGGCATAATCTCTGATGGCCCTATCCCTGTCATCTGCCATGACTGGCTGGTTAAATGGATTGTTAACATTTACGGGCTGCCCAAAATTGGCTACATTGCCAGCAGCTTCCTCTGCCATTCCTTCAACAACCGCTAGACCTTGTTGCTCCCTTCTCCTTGCGAGGAACGTTCTTTCAATTTTTGGATCTAAGGGCAGCAAATCACGGTCTTGTTGTCGATTCATGCGAGAAGAAGAATATCTGAAATCGACGGAAACAAAATTGTCAAGTAAAATAACGAAGACACTTGAATCTTACAAAGATTAACTATGATAACTGTCCCCGGCAACGGCGCCAAAAACTTGTTGCGTGATTTTTATGCTCGCAAGTGCACGTGCCGAACAAGTAATAAAGTGTGAGTAGAGGATCGTTCCCACGAGGAAAGTTATTAATATTTTTCCTAATAAGATCCAAGAGATGCAATGTAAACAAATTTAATGGTTTGATTCAATTATAAAGACTAAAAGAATTGCAGTAAACACAAGTAAATAAATGCACACTCAGTTATCTAAGGAGAAAATTAGTTTATGTGAAAGACTGGGACTCAATTTCCCCTTCACTACAACCTGGGCTATTTATGCTATGACTTTTGCTACAACAATGCTGTCAGTTAACCTAAAACATGAATTTTACACAAGGATCTCCCGACTTACCTATGATTTCGCCTCTTTACTCATATTTCAACATATTCATATGAGAGATCTAAACATAGAGGTTAAGTTAAGCTTAGGTTTCAATTGGGCTATGTGAGACAAGTGTATATTCCTATACTACTCACAAATCAACTAGACTTCTTTGTGAAATTTAGCTAAACAACACATTGTTCAATATTGGTCTAACTCCAATCAACTTTCCAGCAAATTGAACTCACAATATTCTGTTTAAGATAGCCAGTCAGTAAACAAAAATGCATGATAAGAATTATATTGAACAAGCTAGATCAACATTAATATAGCAAAAGTGAGCATATACAACGTAATTACAGATCCAGGTACTTTATCATCCCAGCCAAATAAGTTTAGCTCATACTTGTTCTATTAACTTCAACAAAATAATCAGCCATGAATTGAATACAGAGAAGGAGGAAAGATAAACCAAAATGAGGATAACAACAGTAAATACTAGGTGGAGCTGGGGGGGTCTCCTCCAGTGGCTTCACTCCTCGAGATTTCCAGCCAAGTTAGTCTCCTCCCGTGGCTGTTTGTCCTTTTCTCTCTTGTTCTCTCGTTTTCTTTTCACTCTCTGCTGCCTTAGGCTTTTCACCCAGGGCTCTCTCTATTTTTCTTCTTCTCTAGTTCTCTGTCTGTTTTCTTCTTTTCCTCTTGCTTGCCTTTTGCTTCCTCCAACGCCCCTCTCTCCTCTTCAGGGTTTCCAGGTGCCATCCTCTTTAAGGCAACCAAGGATGCTGAGGTGGCACCTATTCAAATATTGGGTCTAGCCGACTCAGCAACAAATCCGTCTTATGCGCTCTTTGTCCTAATTCTCGTGCAAGGTTATGCTCTGACGTCATCCACTAACTACATGCTGTCACATTTTTACTGTAGCAAATGCTGCAGCATTTATCATCACAAAATCTGCAAATCAGAAACGACACCCTTTTGGACACAAGTCAATAATTTTCTTCCAAATTACCACAGAAGCCGCACGCAATTGACTCTTAGTAGAGTGCACCAAATGAGCCAGCAAATAAAACATAAAATTAACAACTAAAGCTTTGGATGAGCCAACTTTAAGCCTAAAAATGCCTAGAATAACTCTAATTCCTAGAGTTATCAAAACAATAGCGTCAAAAAATGACAAAAAAGTAAAATGCAGTAAAAAAGACCCCAGCCCGCATTATGGGGCGGCTAGCGGCCAGGATCAGTCTAAAATTTACATTTTTATTCATGGTTTGCATTCTAAAATTAATATACAATTTTTAGGAATTAATACAATAAGCGGCACCATTTTGTGATGAATATTCTATTTTTTATGATTTTTTTTATTTTTCGTCTTTCAAAAATAAAATAAAATGAAATAAAAACAACGTAAAAAATTATGAAAGTTTGCATACACGATCCTTATATTTTTCTGGACACGCCAGTAGAAAATGGCCTTAACAAACGACAAAACAAAGTAAGACGCTGTCAAAAACCCCCGGCCCGCGTAGTGGGGCGCCTAGGGGCCGAGATGGGTCAGAAATTTAAATTTTTATTTATATTTTGTATTCTAAAATGAATACACAATTTTTAGGAATTAATGCAACAAGCAGCATCATTTTTTGATGAATATTCTATTTTTTATGATTTTCGTTATTTTTCGTCTTCAAAAAATAAAATAAAATTGAAATGACGTCAAAAAATAACAAAATTTTGTAGACACATTCCTTACGTTTTTCTAGGCATGCCTGCAAAAAATGTTAAAAAAAAGTAAAACGCTGTCAAAAAGCCCCCGGCTCGCATAGTGGGGCACCCAGGGGCCAAGATGCGTCAAAATGTACTTTTTTATTTATGTTTTGCATTCTAAAATTAATATACGATTTTTAGGAATTAATACAACAAGCGGCACCATTTTTTTGATGAACATTCTATTTTTAATGATTTTTTTTTAGTTTTCATCTTTGAAAAATAAAATAAAATAAAAATGACGTCAAAAATTATGAAAGTTTGTAGACACGATCCTTACATTTTTTCTGGCCACGCCAACAAAAAATGGCCTCAAAAAATGACAAAATAAAGTAAAACGCTGTCAAAAAGCCCACGACCCGCGTAGTGGCGTGCCCAGGGGCCGGGATGGGTTAAAAATTTAAATGTTTATTTATGTTTTGCTTTTTAAAATTAATATACCCTTTTTAGGAATTAATGCACCATGCGACACTATTTTCTGATGAAGATTCTATTTTTTAATAATTTTCTTTATTTTCCATCCCGTGTTATTTTGGCAATGAGTTTTCTTTCTTTGGGTAGTCAGCTAAAGTAAACTTCAATCGCAGGATAATTTTGTGCTTCATTATGAGATGCTGCAAAAGAAACCAATAGTGGAGATGACTTTTTTCTTGAAGCATTTTGTCAAGATGGAAGAATTTACTTTTACCATTTCACTTAGTTAGACGTTTTGGATAATTTGATATCTCCAGCTATTCCTCTGTTTTCTTTACTTGTTTTGAATGTTAAGGTTTTGGAAATTGTATGAATTATGTTGTAAACGTAATTTTATTGTCAACTTGGTAGATACTTATAATAATTGATACGTAGAATGTTTTTATGTTTTAATTTGAATGTTCCTATTTAGATATAAGATGTTGTTCGGAGTCACCATCTATTTGAATGAATTCAAAATGATATCAATAATAATTTTAAAAAGCTACAAGAGTATAAACATGACAAGGAAAAAAAGCTATTAATCTGTATCGTAGCCATGCTAAATAGCTGTAAGAGGTTGAAAATATCTTGTCTTTAATGTTATAATACCTCAATTCTATAGCGCTTTCAATAACTCTCTTAGAACGCTATGTTTTCTTACGACTTTTAATAGCGTCCGATGTCCTAGCGCTCTACAAAACACTATTGCTAGTGACTAATAGCGTTTTTGGTCAGCTACTAATGCTGATATTTCTTGTAGTGTATTCAAAGTTTACGCGTATTTTTTGTGAGAGAAAATACTGTAGTGAGTCACGAATCATAATTCAAACAATGACACGAATTCTCATACTAAACATAGGCTAAGTTTTTCATCCTAATCTCTTTTCTAGTTATAAAATTCTCTCATATTCAACATGGTCATGGCTTGACAATCCTCAGGGTGGTGGATGAGTTAGAGAAATGGAAGGAGTTTGTTAAGGAAAAGGGATTTGAGTTTGTTTTCAAAGAGTAGTACAACAAGGTTACTCAGATTGTCCATTGTTGCCGCCTTGACATCCCGAACGTCGCCGGAAAGGTGCCGGAGAGCATGTAGTGTCCAGAATGCCCTCGCATCATGGAGACTTTCATTAGCTACAAGTGCAGCCATGTAGATGCTTCTTTGAAAGCACATCACTAATTTGGGAAGTACTCTCTCTCTATATATATATATATATATATATATATGCATGCTTGCAGGGAGATTCTAGTAGGTGTTTTTAGTAAAATAAAGGCCAAATAGAATTGTTATGCCCATAGTAATCTACTGCTCTTACATGTTATGTAATGGATCTTCTAAAAAAAAAAGTGATCGGAGTGTGTTTATAATGTAGTACTTTCAAGTTCAGAACCATAATTCAGAATTATTTTTCGTTTATGTGTATTTTTTTTATAAAATAAAACACTATAACGAGTCACGAATTATGATTCGAATCATGATATGAATTTTCATACCAAACACCTTCTAACAAATGGTGTCTTTTTTTTTTTTTTTTTTTTTTTTTTTTTTTTTTTTTTTTTTTTTCTTCCTTTGGTTTATTAAGTGCAATTATGGCGCCAAAGGTGAAAAAACAAAAGTCAAAGGTTAGGTTGTCATCACGGATTCGCAAGCTTCCCTCAGCCAAGATTGGAGGGGCATATTGGGAAAGAGAAAAGGATTGATTAAATAATTATATCAGATAATTATAAGTACGATAATGACCAGAAAAAGGTTATGCCAACGAAAATGACAATGAGCTGAGCAACCAAAATGAGTCAACAAAAACCTCACTCATTTGGCTACGAACCCATTTAGCTCATGGGTTTGTACCAGAAATTAAATCTTTTTACTAAAATATATTTTTTTTTTGTAAAAACTTTAAAATTTTATTTAAATTAATTTTTTATTCAAATCTATGAATAAAAAATTATAAGAAACAACCACTTTTAAGAATTAGGTAACGACAGTACGATATGAAAAACTATCCACAGTGACTTAAAGAAAAAAGAGAGACTAATGAAAGCGACAATAAAACAAAACGCGACATTATCTAAAAACAACAACAATGATTTTATAAAGTCACGAGGGCAAGTAATATGTTCAATAACAATATTACTTGTTTCAGAGTAAGGCTTTAGTTTTCAGAGAAACACACACACACATATATACCACTCATAAAACGACAACAGTGATCGGACAATATCACTTGTTTCATTGCCTATTATAACTGCACAGCATTATCGATATGCTAAAACACCAATTCGGAAAGCAAACCAAACGACTCCTTAGAAAAACACACACACAAACGCACTTTCCACTAATAAACGACAATATATTAGTATAGTAAATTAGAAGACAGAAGAGAGCCGACATCAATCCTTAACCATATAATATGTTATCATTAGTGATGAGCTCCATCCACGTGGCAACACTTGTAGCTGACGTATGACTCCATAACACGTGTACATTCAGGACACTTCATCGTTTCCGGAACCTTTCCAACGACAGTCGGAATGTCAAGACGACAGCATTGTCGTATAGTCAAAAGAGCCTTGCCATGATACTCCTTAATAGTAACCTCAAAACCCTTTTGCTTCACAACTTCTTTCCATTTCTCAAACTCCTCAAAGACTCTTAATATAGTGTATCCATGGCCAGCCACAACCACGGTCGACCCTTTGCTGAGCACAAACCAACCGCTCTCATTCTTGTAGGAAAGCAGCTTTTGGATCTCTTGTGAAACGGGGTCCACCTCCTTGTGGGCCTTGGTGAAGAAGAGCCCTTCAATGGCGGTCCAGAACCGGCCCACAACGCCGTGGTCGTCGCCGTCGTCTTCGTCTTCTCCTTTGTTGGTCTTTCCCACGCGGAAAAGCTCTACGGAGATCCTGGCTTCCTTGAAGACGGGGTCGTTTGCGAGCGTGGTCACCTTCTCTGCGAACTGTTGGCGCCATTCCTTGTCTTTGCCTCCGTAGAAGAAAATGTACTTTTCTTCCTCGATCTGTTGTTTATCAAAAAAAAAAAAAAAAAGTATTAGAAATCACATGAGAATTAAAGTCAAGTGTAAAACTTCACAAAGAAATTAATGTCAAATTTTGTAGATCATTAACTTTCAATTTATCGTCCAAAAGAAAAACTTCAAATTTATCAAATGTTCACATGCACATTATAGGATTAGGGAATTATTACTGCATGCTAGGGAGAGATTATATATGGTGGATGTAATGCAACAAAATTAAGGAGCAACGTTTTTGTATTGTGACTTTTCTCTTTTGTATTTTTAAATATTTGTAAATGTCACGCTGTGTGGCAAATTTATGAGACTGGAGTTGAAATATAGTAATTTTTTCAATTTTTTTTGAATAGTTGAAATAACATAGTTATTATTTGCATGATATTCACTTATATACAAATTCTAATGATATTAATTTTTTGTATTTGTAAAATATTCTAATTTTTTTGTCAATTTGCAATGTGACTTGTGAAAAACACCCTTTTTGTCACGAAACTGCTTGAATAGGATGGACTTACGTACCCATGTTTGAATAACCGGGTCAATGTCGCGTGCTATGGGGCCGATCCAGTTTAGTTGGTTAGACACCGATTCTTCCGCAGTTTTGTTGAAAGGAAAGGCTTTCATTCCCCAAACTCGGATCAAGTGAAGCGCATTGGGGTTTTCCACCTTCCCTTGTGGGTTCAATGCCACCACCAAAGGCTTTCCCTTGAAGTTCCATTTTTCTCTGATGAATTTGAAGCCTGCAATACGGGAAAAGAACTGAACACTGTACCATGGCATCCTCGCCCGCAGTCTGTCGTATGTCCTCCGCAGATTGTCGTTCCATTGCTCCACAATGGGCTGCCACACGATCTTATATTGACTCTTGTTTTTTATTCCTTCATAGATTGGATAGAGAACAGAGATATCATTCTCGGTTATGTCTAGGCCTGAAATGAATAGAAATATGTTCTTTCTCTTCAAAACATCAATCTTCACCTGTTTGAAAAAATCGCGGATATATTAGGTTTATGTAATAAATTAGATACGCAACAAAACAAAATCTGTCTAGTAAATTAAGTAATAAATTAGATTACTCAAATCTGTTGTTCCATATTCCTGTCCTATTAGTTGTCCCCTTGTATTAACTCGTGCAATTACTTAAGCAGTTTAGTAATGACCAAATTCTTAAATTTAGATGATATGATGAAATAATATTAGGGGACAACCATATTTAGACTCGAAATTTATTACTTTATAAGTATCTATAACAACATTGTAACTTATTATAAAGAAGACACGAATATTTTATTGAACACAGGTAAAGTATTCTTAACATAGATTCATTCTTGCACAAATTAATTTTATTGGAAACAAGTGTTTTAATTTTGAATCCGAGTATTAAAGAGGGTCAAACCATTTTGTTTGTAGAACCATCAAAGAGTGGTTGAATATTAATCTCCCTTGTGAAAATGAGAAACCTATGCTGAGGCAGGACGTTATCCTTGGAAAAAATCAGAGCTTTCAAAATCTCCATGATTTCTGTTGGTGTTTGCATGAGTTTGCAGAGCCTCCGGTAGTGATCTAACTCCTCTGCAGGGGGAAAAAAAATCCTTCTTTACTCAGACGCATTTGCAAGTGAAATATCATATATTTTAAGTGTGTATATGCATCTCTCTCTCTCTCTCTCTCTCTCTCTCTCTCTCTCTCTCTCTCTCTCTCTCTCTCTCTCTCTCTCTCTCTACCTATCTATCTATCTCAAGACTAATAATTCATCGACCAGAAAGTTAGGTCCCCCACCAATCTGTTTTCTGCAAAGGAGCAACTGTGTCTTAAATTTGTTGATGATGTATTGGATTTTCTGAGAATAGGGGGACAAATCCAACGACTTGAACCTGAAAGTAGACACAGAAATACATTAAAATGAAATAAGAAGAACCAAATTAGTTTCAAGATATTCTACTTTAGTAAAAACTCTCACGAGACATGCATATATATATGTAGAAAAGTTTTCCCGTAAATAATCAGTTTTGTGAGGAGATTGACATATAAGACTCATGTGTGTGATTATTTGTTATTGGTTAAAAGTGTGTGATGATATGTACCGCCAGTCCATATGAGGTGGCGTTGTATAAGTGGTTAGACACCATTTGGGACATCAAATTTTGGACACAGAATTTGAGTCCCACCATTGGTAAAACATACTGTTCTACTCTTTAAATCGGGAATTTAGGATGCTAATTTGTGTGTGGAATCCCCACACATATCGTGCTATATCTCCAATTTTTAATAGAAAAATGCTTGGAGAAACCACAACTAATAGAAATGAGTCTCACTTTTACCGGGTGTGATGCTGAAAAGCACTGGTGTTTTTGTTTTTTTTTTTTTTTATACATTTTTCGTCATAGCATTCCAATCAATGTGCTTAGAGACTTTATAAAAGAGAATTAGATGTGTCTCATGTCACAAACCACATCCTCACTTACTCGTCGCTGTCATGAGCAAGGAGATCGAGTTTAGTGGTGCAAGCCACAATAGTAAGGATAACCCAATACACGTCCACAGGAAAGTGGTCCGTGGCCACCGACAAGGCCGGCACATCTTTCGGATCAGACTTAGAGAGGTTCTCAAACTCAAAGATGTTTTCAATAACGCGCAAAGTTGCCCTAACAAGATCGTTGAGCTCAAGAATGGCCTGGCGACGTTTTTGGAGCTCCAAGGGCCTTATGACGGCGGGCACTCTTTTTAAGATCTCCAAGGCTTTGGTCATTTGATCATGAACATGGGCATGGTGAAGTTGTGCGAGGAGCCAAAAATCTCCATACTCAATGGCAAAGGTCGCTAGGGTTAGCACGGCCTTCGCCTCCCATGTGTAGCTTCGCAGGTTGTTGAGTATTGAAAGAGCTACTTTGTGCGTAGTTTCTTCACCTAGGGACTTGCATGACATCTGCTTAAAGTAAAGAAAATTAAAGAATAAGGACATTGAGACTTAAATATCCATTAATTTTGTATGTGGTTTGTGACTTTAGACAAGAAATTACAAACCAAATTGAAGATCAGATAAAAGGTAACGATGAATATTAATTAACCTCACTGTTGATTTGCTTAAGCGTGCATAGTGGTACACTAAGGCTGCCTTTGGGGGACTTCTCCTCTATGTCAGCATCTATATGGATACCCTGCAACAATTAGTTCAAAATCTATGGGTACCATCTTAAAATTCAATCTCAAAAGTTGATTAATTTTTTACTTTAATTACAGAGAGAATTACTAATATCAAAGAAAACTATCGCGGATTAATTAAATGGACACCCACTAACAACTAAATTCTCTAGCAAATTCCTCAATTAAAATTATATTAAATTCTCAAGAGTTAATTAAGCATAGATAGATTTGACGTTTGAGTAACTTGATGATATAAAGAAAAAAAATTACAAATTCTACTTACTTAAGTACCTGACTTATTAAAATTATTCTTTTTACAAAATTCTGTCCCTTAAAATATGTGAATTAATGTTAAGAGGTAGAAATAAAATGGTTTCTATTTTAAGGGATATTTTTAAAAATTACCTATAGAAGACCGAATGCCTATTATTCTGAGCCGTAGACCAAACGATTCACTTTAGTCGGCCTTTTTTTTTTTTTTTACTTTGTGTATTTTCCTGTTTAGGCCCCACTTTTGGCTTTCTTGTGTTCTACTGAAATATGTTTTTTTTTTTTTTTTCTTTTCAACCAATTTGTCCATACTAAATTTCTCTAATACATCATCACTTGAATATTTTTTATTATGATGTTAATAATCCTCATTCATCATAATTTACTAAAAAAAAAAAAACTCTAAGAAATTTTTGGTAGACCACAAGTTCTTTGAATTTTCTAGAATAAATTGAGAAAAAACAGACATTTAAAATATCTCAACTAAGTTGGCACATATCCTATACTGAGCCTAGCTACCATTCCAAGAGTGATTTAAATTGAATATTTAGTATTGATATTTTTTTATGCAACTAGTATAATCATTTATTACTTTAAGTGATGCATCATCACATACATAAGGGTAAAGTAGAAAAGTCACTTGACAAAAAATACAAGTAGCAAGTCTTACATTGTTATGTGTTAACTTTAATAAACTTTCACGTGTAGTGACGTTGTCACTGCTGATAAATATCATTTTCCTTCAAAATTTGAATTCGACTCTTCAAAATGTCAAAATTAATTGGTCCCCACTTATTTGAATTTGACTCTTTAAAATGTGAAAATTAATTGGGTCTAGTGGGCGAACAAAAATCCTAACAGTTGGATTCGGCACAGCACAACACGATTTTTATGAGGGGCACTGACAAGTTCCAGTACAAGGTAAAAAAACTTCCATCATCAGTATATCTTGCAACCAAGCTGATTACAGATACATGTTTATTTTAATAACTACAAGAAAATTGAGTACATAAACAAGAGGGAAAGCGGAAGTTTATATATGACTACCTGCACAACTTTATCGACAACTTGGAAAGTATGCTTAAGGATGTTTTCGACCACAGCAAAAAGAGAAGCCTCATCAAATGATTGATCGGAATGAACGTGAGATTCGTAAATTAGGTCCATGATCTTATTGTCTGACATGGTAAACAAGCTCAGCTCCGCCGAGAGGGCGTCGGCAGGTTTTGCCGCCCCCTCGGCGGGTTTCGTCGACTGATCTGCCGTCAACAATAAGCTCTTGTGGGTGATACTGGCCATATTTTGTTATAACTTGATCGTGGTAGTTGGAAAAAGAGTTTTCGCAGCAGTTGAAGAGAAACAAATATGGCTTTGTGAAGTGTTCTGATGACATATCTACTTTGCTTATAAGCCCGCCCTATTTATAGACAGATTTTTTTTTTTTACACCAAAAAAAAAAAAAATAATATATATATATATTGTCTCTTGTATCGTTGCCTTTGTGGGATACAATATACAACTTCAGAAAAATATCATTGCAGCCACAAATTCGATCCCTCGTGTAGAGTTACGATGGATAAATTCCACAAGAGTAACTTTTAAATAGTTATGTCAATAATTTTAACGTGGTAAAGAGAAATGTTAGTGTCATTACTTTTTTTGTTACTTTTTGTATTTATTGTTTGACATATAGACTTTACTAAAATTATATATTATATATTTTTTAAACAGAAAATAATATAATAGAATTCACGAGTCAAACAATTGATGCAAAGAGTGACAAATGAGTGATAGAAAGAATAATACTAGTATTTCTCGTGTGGTAAATTATTGAAATTACGAATTCACTCATAATTTTCATTGGTTACTATGTCATTATTGTTGTTATTAATTTGTTGTGTCCCTAACCCTTAACAAATATTTCATAAGAAAAAAAAAATTCAAATGAGAGACGGTATCCCTAGCTTATTTTCTTATAAAGGAAATGAAATATTATTATTAGATCCTTTATTGCAAAAAAAAAAAAAAAATTAAAATATTAGTAATGTTAGTTTCACTGTTATTATCATTCATGTTTGAATAAGTCGGGGGCATATAGCATAATATATACGCACACTTTTCTTTCTATTTTTTCTCTTTTTAGCTTGAAGGATTTTTTTTTTTTTTAATAAGCAGCTAGAAGGAAAAGTTTAATTTAATAAATTATAATACTAGTACGTAGCAGTGGATATCAATAATATGATCTATTTATGGTTGACTTAATTAGGTGTCCATGATTATTTCATAACATAAAAACACAAAACCAAACAAGGAAGATATAATAATTTAACAAGTTAAAAACATAACTACTTAACATACGGGAGCCAGAAATACATACTTTATTGTAGAAGTACCTGAAGACTGAATAATATTAATTCTACAGCGCTCAAATTAGTTAGAGTTGTTCATCTAGCTACAAAAAGCTTTGTGCATAATTAGTTCAGGCCAAATTGTATATAGGAAGTTGGCGATACGTTTTTGTATTTCTATGAGAAGCGCATTGAGAAAGAGAGATGTATGGAGATCAACTAGAAACTCTTGGTCAGGTGTGAAATATGTTTGTCCCTTTTCTGGGGTGATAAAGTTACTCTTTTGATAAGTATATATATATATATATATATTTTAAGTTAATGGTCTGAGAAATATTTTTTTAAAAGTTTCTTTACTTTGACAAGAAATTGAGTTCGTTAGGTGTTGCGCTATTAAATGGTAAACAGGACTCATAGGGTTAAGGAATACGAGATCACGTCCCCAACCCTGCCTAAAAGGGAGGCGAGATATTCGTTAGCATAAATAGTTATATTAAGTTTGAAATGTTCTTTTTCTCAATGAGTTTTAACACTAGTGCAGAGAACATTTTCTATATATATAACGTAATTACTTCGTAAAATCTCAAAATATCACACTAGATACATGATTTCCGTGATTAAATTTCAGAATTTGTTTGTGAATTTAGTATCAGATATCAAATACGCCAAACAAAAAAACCTCAGAACTAATTTATCAAAATTAAAAGTTCAAGTATCAAACTATCACAATGGGCAAACTTTAGAAACTAACATGTATAGTTTTTCCTTAAATATGTATATCAGGGCGGTTGTAAGATGAGATTGTTCTATTGTGGCTTATTTAATAGTTATTTATTTCAACGCTTTAAAGATGACCCTAGTCTAGTTTATCCACTCTGCTGATATATATTTTTTATATTGACATGTGCACTGATATACATTGTTGTATGAGAATATGAAGACCAATATATCTTAATTATTTTAAAAAAAATACCATAAAACTATATGTTTCATGTTGTTCTATATAACTCCAAGTCTTGCATTTTTTAGCTGTCTGTAGTTTGTACGTTTGTTAAATTGTAATAGAACAATCTCATTTATTGAACATTGGATCCTGCGTTCCTTGAGATACACGTTTTGTACCCACCGTAGAGGTACAGCCTTGTAATATGTGTAAATTAAAGTAAATATATGTCAATGACGGACACGATGCACCTACTTCACGCGTCCCTTTATAGCAATTAAAAAACGTGCTTTTGTTGTGCAAACTTTAGTTTTTTCCTCAAGAAAACGTGATCTTATGTATCTTCGTTCTTTATCACTCAGCTTTGTGCTCATAACTCTTCTCAGATCACTTTCTTTTTCGTTAAATATATATATATCTTGCACAAGTCATAAAAAAACATATGTGGCAAAATATCATTCATCCGTTACATCTGTATGTTTTGTTTTATACATATTAACATCTTATGACTAAAATGTAAATATTGAAGTAACCAATTAATCTTTCATCAGGAGTAGACTCTCTCTCTCGTTTTTTTTCTGTCGAGTTCACATCGATTACTATTATTTTCCATGCTTGCTGCAGATTCATCACCAAACACGTGGCTAATAGTTCATCTGTCGCATCTGTCACATATGAAAAAAGTCCCTGTGCATGGCGCTATACCAGACAGGTCTATTATGATAACGTACCCTACTGCAGACTATAGAGGACTAACCAATAAGTTGTGGAAGAATAGTAATTATTTTGCTCATATTTCGTCAATTGTAGTACTATATATTTATTTTGTATTTATATATACAAAGACTACGGTCCGCTCGGCGAATCGGTTCTTCCACACGTTGCGCAAGAGGAGAGGAGGAACAAATTTTGATTAGACAATTGCAGCTTGCAAGTTGGAAGACAGCGAATAGCCAGCCAAGCAAAACAGACTAATACCGGTAGATGCGCCATTGTTTAGGCGGCAATTATGTAAATAAAGAGGTATATCAGTGTCGAAGGCGACATTTCATGGGCAGAAAAGTAATTTAAAAATCCCCAAAACTTCAAGATTTCTTTGGCCGAACGATAAAATAACATGTATGAATTGCAGAGTAACATTTTGACATATACAAAGTAACACGTCAATAAACAGTGAATCAAAACTGGTGTTATTAGTTAGGACAAATTGTGGGTTTAACCCTGAGTTATAGGCTACCTTCTGAAATGCCTCCAAAACTTAATTCTTTGACATATGTTTACCATGAATTTGAGAACTCCAGCAAATTCCCCCCTTTTGTTAATTTTTTTTTTTATAAATAATAACATTCGGCGTGATTTTAAAGAAAGAGTGTTGAACGTGCAATTATAAAGGTGTTCTTTACCAAACGAATGCATTATGTTAACACGTCGACGGTGTTGTTTTTCTTCCTGAAATTAAATTTTGGAGGATAATTAGACCTCGATGCTTGTGGTTATAATGTAGGTTAGTATCATTGTATTGTTAACACAAAAGTAGTGAGGAAAATGCGCGGCTTAAAATCAAGAATGCCAAACTTTAATTTGTTGCATTCGAGTAATGTATGTCTAAAAAATAATTTCTATTAATCGTTAGTGAGACCAAATCGTCTGTAACATTTGTTAGCGTAATCATGATTAGATTGAAATGTGAAGGAGAAACCGTAGCCCATGCGAGGCGGTAAAATCAAATGTATGGATGAAAAGGGGAACTAAATCATAGCATAATGAAATGTGTTGTAGACGAGAAAAAAGTGAAAGCATACAAGGTAAGGAAATAGTAATGCCATACAAGTCACAAAATAGTACACAATGGTTACTAATCGCAAATGGCTAACAAGATGCCAATTATTCGTAAACAAAGCGAGGACACAATTGAGAGGTACGACACTAGTAATGCCATACAAGTATAATGAAAATAGTACGTAATGGTTAAATGGGATGATTTTTTTTAGGAGAAGATTTTCACTACAACAGAAAAGCTTATTCACTTTCTTTTTTCGTTATATATATAATATATATATATATGTATGTATATATGCGAAGCAGTACTAGCAGCTCTATATTGCTGCTGAAGTCATAAGCAAACATATGTGGCAAAATATCATGCATCTGTTACATCTGTATGTTTTGTTTTAGTTTTATACATATAGATTTTGTTTACAATCCTGAAGTCCGATAGTGTAATGTAATATATAGAAGTAAAAATGTGACATCACCTTTATTAAATATTGTAGCGTTAATGTTAGAAATGTGTTTTAGATACTTAATTTTTTCAATTTTATACATGCTTCGCATAAGTATTACATAAAATGAATATTATGTTACAGTTTAAATTTTATATCTTACATAATAATATAGTCCTATTGAAAGGACAGTAAGAAACCCTGTTATATATATATATATATATATGAAATTTTTTTATGTTTTTATGGTGGTTATTTAATAAATATAAAAATTTAATAGCGTGTCATGATAAAAATATAATTGTAATTAATTTTTTTGTCAAACATATAATTTATTACGACCATCCTATTAACTGGCTAAAATGTAAATATTGAACTAACCAATTAATATTTCATCAAGAGAAGACTCTCTCGTTTTTTCTTTTTTTTTTTTTCTTTTTTTTTTTCTTTCTGTCGAGGACCCGTAGATTACTATATTTTCCATGCTTGCTGCAGATTCATCACGAAACACGTGTCTAATTATTCATCTGTCGCATTCGTTCGTTTTTGTAATTATCACATATGAAAAGTCCTTGTGCATGGCGCTGTACCGGACAGGTCTATTATGATAACGTACCCTACTGCACACTATAGAGGACTAACCAATAAGTTATGGAGGAATAGTAATTATTTTGTTCATATGTCTTATGCCTTCAACTGTAGTACTCTATATGTGTGTGTATATATATAGGTAAAGACTAAACCATTTGGTAAAAACAATAAACCGACACTAACAATTGGAAATTACAATTTGGTAAAAACAATAAACCGACACTAACGATTGGAAATTACAACTTTTTTTTTTCTTTTAATAATAAATCATTAAGTAGTGTAATAGTGAAGAACTTTCCAGAAAAAAAAATGAAAAGCTCCTTCACAGCAAGAAACATACATTGATCGAGTGTCTGACTAGGAAGCAACATCTCAGTGAGGATGTTACAAAGCACAAACATCTCAGCTGATTGATCATATCATGGTGTCAAGAAATAAAAATGATAAAAGATTATATAAATATTCATGGGCATGTTATTTCACGGTCATATTCTTCCAGCTGTGTACTCTTCTGCTTAAAATAAATATTATCATGTGAAAACAATGAAAAAAAATATATGAGAAATATTTTGCCAAATGTATTCATGTGTATATTAATGCTCTGGTCGGATCTATACTATGGTGGTAATTCGTACGCTTTTGGAGTTCATATATATATTGGAGAATCAATGTTGGCTACGTGTTGCATGTGCCTTTTCTTATCCATATTAATTTGAAGTTGAAGATTTTGGATCAAAAAAGTTGCTTTCATATTTGATTTCCGAAGCTGGCAACTCAGCTATCTACCATATATTTAGTACATGGTAGCAAAAAACAAATAAATTAGTTTTCACGTTTCATAAAATGTCCTTTTAGTATGAACATATACGACATTGGTGGTAGCTATCGCTGAAACCGTTGAATTTTGTTTTCGTCAATAAAGTTACAATTACACTTTCATGCGCTTTCATTTTTTTTTTTTTGTTTTTTTATTCTCATGTTCTTATTTTTTTTGAATAGTGGTATTTGGCACTGGCAGTGCTAAATACCATCTACTAATAAAGAGTGAGTCTCATTGCGGTCTACAGGTGAGACCCACGTGCTATTAGTAGTAGCTTTTAGTATTGATGTTGCCCCTAAGTATTTTTTTTTATTTTTTTGTTTCCTAAAATATGGTTTTATCATTAATGGATTGGTTGTACAATTTAATGGTTTTGATGAGGCATCTTCCTCTTAGTAATTTAAGTGAGAGAGTAGATCCTTTAAGTTGTTTATCCGCTTAAGATTTTTCTCATCTAATTAACACTTTTTAGTTGACTTAATTAGAGCCAATCGGAGACTCCAAAAGTCCTTTATATATAATACTATACAAGTAGCGTATTTACTAGAACAGAATCAAGTGCTTCGTAGCTTATTTTTTATATAGGAAAAAGCAGAATTTATATTAGAACTGCAACAATATCAAACTAACCCTTAACTGTTGTCGTAAAATCAAACAAGATTTAAGGTTTACCTTTATAATTTATATATGTTTCTTACATCTATCTCTGATGTTATTTGAAGGGAATTCTCGTGTTCATTTTTAACTGATTAAATAGTTAAATTTTTATGTGATTGACAATCTGAATGGATCAGCACTCTTGCAGGTACCACCATTATTTCCTTGTACGTGCATTATCAGTAAATGCGATAGTGTTTGAAGCAAGGACCGGTTGCTGAAATTTATCAAGAGAGATCGTTAATTAGGAGATTGGAAGGGTTCTCTATCATCATTTTGTCAACCAAAATAGCCAGCAATATTGCTGCAGCCTCGATCATTTAACCAAAAATATATTTGCGACTTTAGCTTGCGTCCAAACAACCATATCCGTATGGAGCCGATCTCAATGTGTAGCCTCTCAAGCGACTAGAGATGACTCTCCATCCTCTCCTTCGCTTCACGTTTTAGAAATGAGATGACTCTCTCTAAGAGCATCTACAACGAATTCTATAATTAATGTTCTAATTGTAAATTTAACATTAGAGTATAAGAAAACAGCAATACAATGCTATTTAATATGTCCAACTTGCCAGCATATGGTAAATTTGGCATTTTATTTTTATTGGTTGATATGTTTACCTTTTCATTTAATCATTGTATTTTTTTGCATCTTAAAATTATTTTAAAAAATTTTTATAACAAAATTATTTTAAAATTAAAAGTACACTTTTATAACTTTCAAAACTTGATGATTATGGTTAAAAGGTAGATTTAGCATTTAAAATAGGATTATGTTTTGGAGCACAACATGCCAAATATATCATATCACACTTTTTAATACTAAATATACAATTAACATTAACACTTATATTGGAGATGGTCTTAAGGGGCTTTTTCACGGCTTTTGTGAATCATGAACAACCCTGGCCGTCTTATCTTCAAGAAAGTGCTTGAATCATTGATTATGTTCTTAGGAATATATTGTAAAGTTAAACACATAGTACTCCACTTCATTAAAAAATAATTTAAAACAAAAAACACATTGTATGTAACTAAAATTGTTATGATGATTTTATAGAATTATTTAACAAAGATATAGATTGAGCACAAGCACGTAGTATATTTTAAATAACCTTTTTTTAGGGGAAAAAAAAGAAAGAGACAGAAAAAGAAATTGACATATAGAAGCTATGTGGACAATGTTGACACCACTAAAACTTTTTATCCAACACTAGGGCCCCTGTCAATTTATTAATTTAAGAAATACCAAAAATAAAAACAAAAACAAAAATTGTGATCCCGAAAGAAGGAGGATTTCCATAAAAAGAGAAAAAAAAAAAAAGAAAGAAAGAAAGAAGGAGGCCAAAAAGGGTTAATCAATTGTACTTAAAATATTACAAGAAAACATAATATAGATGAAGTTTTTTAGATAAAAGATCTACTATCAAATGGCAAAACCATAAGGCAAAAATCCATTTGAGTGAAGCATAGTGCATGATACCAAAGGCAACGACTGAACGAGCTTGAAACTCATATTGGTAGAATCAAAATTCGATTTGATGCCCGATCATCATTAGTCATAATTAGCACTAATAGTCATAGTTAAGTAATTAACACTTCATTATCTTCAAAAACTCGAATTCGGTTCCCACTTGGAGTATGAACCATGGCTGTTTTCTTTTCCAAATCAGTAATCAGAGGTTTTTTTTGCGATTTATCAACTTCTAATACATTAACGGTTAAGATGCCGAGACAACTATCTCCACCTAGTGCATATTTGTCCATATTCATCAAACTACCAATTATATGTTAAAAATTGAAGAAGAAAATAAAAGAAGAAGAGAAGACAAGGATTTATTTTCAAATGAGAAAATAAATATAAAGCTACTAATAAAGGTATAATTCACCTATACCCAAATTATCTTTATTTCTTATATGAGTCGTTTCTTGTCGTCCTGATAATTAGTAACAAGAGAATTATTTGTGTCACTCTTTCAATCACTCTTTTGTCGCTTTTTGTATTTATTGTTTAACACATGAACTCTATTATCTCTTTTTACGTGTAAATAATATATAATATATCATATTAATAGAGTCCACATGTAAACCATTAAATGAAAAAAATGATAAATAAAGAATGACAAAAAAAGTGAGGCTAACTTTTTTATAGTAACAAACATACTCACTTAAGACCCACTCAGTGTTTAATGAAAAAAAAAAGGTGTTGATTGCTTTATCTTCATCTCTAACAAAACTAACAACCAACCAAGAGGAATCTACCACGGCGGATATATGATAAAAAAAAAACTCCTGTTCTCGCTCATCTACCAAAAACAAAATCATGATGTATCGTCTTTAACATATTTCGTTTTGTTTCGATCTCAACAAAAATTGCTTTCAACTTGTTTAACACCTTGTATTAAAATAGTATTTAATTAGGACAATTTTATAATTTTAATATCATGTCGTGGTAAAGTATACTAAAAACTATTATTACAGGCATAATTTACGTTAATTCCATACCTTGACTCCATAAAATGAAGCGTTTGAATTCCTCCATTTAGGTTTAAAGAGAAAAGTATATTGAAAAAAAAAAATTAGAAAAAAGTAAATTTTGTACATGACAACACGGCGGATATATGATAAAAAAAAACTCCTGTTCTCGCTCATCTACCAAAAACAAAATCATGATGTATCGTCTTTAACATATTTCGTTTTGTTTCGATCTCAACAAAAATTGCTTTCAATTTGTTTAACACCTTGTATTAAAATAGTATTTAATTAGGACAATTTTATAATTTTAATATCATGCCGTGGTAAAGTATACTAAAAACTATTATTACAGGCATAATTTACGTTAATTCCATACCTTGACTCCATAAAATGAAGCGTTTGAATTCCTCCATTTAGGTTTAAAGAGAAAAGTATATTGAAAAATAAAAATTAGAAAAAAGTAAATTTTATATATGACAACAAAAAAGACGTATATATATTGTGGCTCCCTTTTCTTCTGCGGATTCATACGCGAGACTTTTGGAAGAACTTCCGAATGTTTCTAAACGCCCAAGATATGTAGTACAAAAAAAAAAAGAAAAAATCAGCCTCTACGATACGATATATTGTTCGCAATTACTCGAAAGAATTTATTTTACTCACTCTAGAATGTTAATCAACTTCTCCTTCGAAAGAAAACCATCAAGTAGTTCAAGAATCCAGTTTTGTCCAAGCTAAAGAACAGACTAATTATCTTTTGTAAGTCATATAATTTATCAGAAAAGTTTTCATTAGTTAAAGAAAAAAAATATCGCAAACAACAAAAGAAATCAATATCAATAGAATATAAAAAATTTAGATAGGAGTCAAGGTCTAGGATTATAATTTAGAATTTAGATTAGGATTTAGAATTAGAATTAAGATTTAAAATTGAGGATTTAATATTTGATAGGGTATGAAAAATAAAAAAGAAGAAATAAAAGAGTTAAAAGATAGAAAACAAAGTTCTTGAAAAGTAGTTAAGAAAAACCACATAGCTACTTTAGTTCTTGTGCAAGTTTTAAGAATCTGAAGTTTATGATACTGTACGGACCCTATACATGGCATAATTTGATTGAAGGAGAAAACTTGCGGTTCTCTAATTAGCCAAACATTATCGCGCAATTTTTTCTTCTTTTTACCACCTTTCCTTTCCTACGAGTAAATGCTTAACTAACTTTCCACGCACCCACATGCTTCACGTGAAAAACAAGAGTAATTTAGTACAACATAAGGCCAAGTAATGGCTATAAATAGCCCTGCAGATTTGCCTTTCCACCACACCAAACAACAACCCGGCAAACACAAGAGCCTTCGGTTTCCCAAAGCCATAATATTCTACTTCTTTTTTCTACTTTTTTTTTTTTTTTTTTTTTTCTTAGCCGTAATCCAGCAGTACTTTATCACCAAAATGTTGAGCCTTGCCAAAGACGTAGCCTCTAGAGTTGAAAATGTGGTCACCAATGTGAAAGAACACATTGGAGGAGAGATCAGCCTCTTCACCTTGTCCGACAAAAAAATCACTGAGCTCATTTACGAGACTCATGTTCACGCCGATGAATCTTTCGACGAAGATTCACTCTTCGTCATCGTCGAAAACATTCTCAAGCGTGCTACCCAGATTATTGACAAAGTTGTGCAGGTACATACAATATCTGTACAAAATATACCTTAATGGAATTCCGTTCTTAATTAATTATCAAAACAAACGTATTGATTTCCTTATAAATATATGTATGTATGTATAGTATGTGTATTGTTTCCCTCCATGTCAAGCGCATTTTTTAGTTGGCCTAATTAGGCTTTAAAAAAGGAAAAACTTTTTTGCATGCAATTTTTTTTTCTTTTCATTTTTTCACAGAGAGAGTGGGGAGTCTAGTGCCGTATGAGTTTGTTAGAGGGTGCCAACATAATTGGAACATTCTAATAATTTTATATGCTAATTATTCTCTCTTATCATTTACAAAATATATATTTAGGTCTATCTATATGTTTTATACCAATTCTGAATTGTCATCTTTTCGTTATAAATACAATCTTATATTATTAATTAATGTGATAATATTTTAAACATAGAGGAAAAAAAAAAGAACCCGCCTTGCAAGTGCTGAGTTATTGGTTTTGACTGATTGTACAGGGAAGCAACGTCCATGTGGAAAACATAGAGGAAAAGAGCCCCAATGCTAACTTCACTGTCCCATTGTGCACAATTAAGTCCGTTGGCAGCGAGGTACATTAATTATAAATTGCTAATTATAACCTCTATCGTTTTTTTTCTTTTCATTTAGGGCCCAGTGCAAGCACAAAATTAACAAGTTTGGATTTGCAGCTTGCATGCAAACCTCCGGGTGAGGAAATTGCACACAAGACAGCTCTTTCCATTCTCCACAAGCTTTCCAGCTACTCCTGGGAAGCAAAGTCAGTGCTAACCCTGGCCGCTTTTGCCTACGATTTCGGGGATTTCTGGCACCTCGCCCACCACTTCCAATCGGACCCTCTGGCAAAACAATTGGCAATCCTGAGAAAAGTGCCCCAACTCATCAAGCCGGCCGAGCTCCAGAAACGCCGGCTAGCAATTCTGGAGGTCAGCAGCCTCATCAAGGCTACCACGCGTGTCATTGCGATTTTCGACGAGTTTGAGAAGCTGTCTGTTAATGACCCGAAAAATGTCCCTGAGTTGCCCGCGGCATTGGACCACTTGCCAGTGGATGTCTACTGGACCATTGTCACAATTGTGGCTATTGCAACCAAGATCTCCATTCTTCTCAGTGATGAGTAAGTCGTTAATTACTGACTAATTATTTTAGACAACAATATTTTGATATTCATTATATTAACATAATTTGTTGTGATTCATGGCTTCCATGTTAATCCAGGCCTGAGAAGCCTCATGATTTGGCTCCCTACTCTCAGAAAATCCACTTCATCCTCAACAGGCTCAACTTGCATCTGACTATTTGCCGGAGGCAACTAGGTAAATTAAATTTGCAAAATCCATAGTTTCTTGTTTCGTCAATATTGCTTGCAAACGCCTGGTATGTGTTATTAATCTGTAATACTTGGCTCCTTTTTTTGGAAAAAAAAAAAAAAAAAAAAAAAAAATTGCAAAAGGTTAAGATTCCTATGTCTCATTTGCTACCTTTTCAAAACCGTCTTTTTAACATTTAAAAACTTTGCTTTTTTTTTTTAAAAAAAAAAAAAAAAAAAAAAAACATTGCAGCTGAGGCCGAGGCTATTCGGAGAATCAGGAAACTCTTGAGAACCCCAACTGAAGTCGTGGAGATTTTCAAGGCCTTGATCTTTATCAAGGACACTACTTTGCAGCCCCTCATTGATGGTTCCACAAACAGAACGGTAAACGCTTTTATTTATTTATTTATTTTTTTTCGAACTTGGATAAGGGGTTTACATCTTAAAGCGAAATTAGATGTGTAATTACGGCTAGAATGTGCCTGCAACTGCAACTGTAAGGACACAAAAAAATAAGTATACGACGTATATATTTCGAAATATGTATATTTATTGTGTTTGTAATTATTAGTTTCCTAATAGTTAATCCTTCAAACAGGTGAACATCGACGTGCTAAGGAGGAAAAACGTATTCCTCTGGATTTCAAGCCTGGACATCACTGAACAAGACATCGCACTCCTCAAACCGATTTACGATAAAACAAAGAAGGAACGGAACTACACAATCGTATGGGTTCCGATCGTGGAGCAATGGACCGACGAATTGCGCAAGAAGTTTGAAGTTCTACGCCCTAAGATTCCGTGGTACATTGTGCAGCAATTTTCACCGGTTGTAGGCATCAGATTCATCAAAGAAGAGTGGGAGTTCAAGGGCAGGTCTCAGCTTGTGGTGCTTAGCCCACAAGGAAAAGTGGAAAACACCAACGCAATCCACCTGATCAAGAGTTGGGGATTGGAGGCCTTCCCATTTGACTTGGAAGCACAAAAGATTATCACCGACAAGGTTAACTGGATTGCTCCTGTTGTTCGCAACATTCACCCAACCATTGAAACTTGGGTAAATATCTTCTTTTTATTATTATTATTATTATTATTTTTTTGCATTGCCCCCTCAAAATTAAGATTTCATGTATTGTACGTGTTTGGTCTAAAACTGGAAAAATTTGAGTCGCAATTTGTTATTCACATATTTTAATTGTTACTTTAATAATTCCTGCGATGAAAAAAATTAATTTTATCCACAAAAGATATATGTTTCCCTAAGCTAAGAAAAAAAAAATACTAAAAATCATTAACTTCAGTTATAAAAGTTCTACTAGCGTTGATCACATGACCTTTTGGATTCACTTGTTGTTATTTATATGCTGATCATCAATTAACAGATCAAGGAGGAGAAGTATATCTTCTTCTATGGAGGCAAAGACACGGAGTTGATCCAACAATTCACCAAGAAAGTGACTGCCCTCCAAAACGAGCCTGCCTTCAAGGACACAAAGATCAACATTGAGTTATTCCTCGTCGGGAAGACGACCAGGGGAGGCGAAGACAGCAGCATCATAGGGCGGTTCTGGAACGGCATTGAGAGCTTGTTTGTCAGCAAGTCTCACAAGCAAGTTGACCCCGTCACACAAGACATCCAGAAGCTGCTTGCCTACAAGAACGAGAGCGCTTGGGCAGTCCTCAGCAAGGGCTCCACCGTGATCACCGCGGGACACGGCTCCGCCATCCTTAAGGTCGTCGAGGACGTCGACAAATGGAAGGACGTCGTGAAGGAGAAGGGCTTCGAGGCCACTTTCAAGGAATACCACTCTAGGATCACTAAGACCGTGCGCTACTGCAGCCACATTGACGTCCCCGTCGTCGCCGGTAAGGTTCCCGAGACCTTAAAATGTCCAGAATGCCCTCGCACCATGGAGACCTACATCAGCTACAAGTGCTGCCACATTGATGGCCCCAATGGGCACCACTGAATGCATTCAGTACTATGCGGCTATCTCTCTTTCTATGCTGATGTTACAAGTGTTTCTATGTTCCTACTTGTATGGCTTATTTTGTGTATGTGTGTGTGTGTGTGTGGTGTTTGCTCGAATAAAGGGCATATTATTAAAGATTGCCGTCTATAAGGTAGTCTTGTGGCCCCCAAAATGTTGTGTTTGTTCTAGTTGTCTAAGAGAAACGGCGACTGTGGCTTGAGTGTGTGTTTCTTTATGTAGGTTGTTAAAAAAATTAATAAATAATTAAGCATCGTTAATGCTATCTTTAAATGTCGTGATCTTATTTACGTCACTTTCTTTTTTTCGAATGAGGATGGGGAATTTGAATTTAGATCTTAATATTGGAGTTAAAGGTTATGTGTTTTTTTTTTCTTCTAATTATGTTAATTGGTATACATTACTTTAATCCTCTATCCTTTGCATATAATGAAACGAAGCAAAGAAACAACAAGAAAAGCGAAAAAAAGAAAAAGGTCCAGGCTTTCGAGTCTCTCCAGATGCAGGCTTGAAGACTTCAGTGTTCTGTTGCTACCAAGTTCAGATCCCAAGTACTGCCACAATTCGCCAGCAATAATTGTCACCAAACTGTTGCCCCTGCTGCGCTATGCATAATTTGGAAGTGTGTATTTACGATTAAGTTATACTTACAATCACTAATATCACCAGATTATGAGAACCCATGATTGTTTAAAGTACTAGTGTTGCTTGAAATTTCTTCCTTATTTTTTCCTGAGTTCTTAATTACAGATTAACAAAACAAATATATAAAACTTTGATGAGCGTGAACGGGACAATGACCATTGCAACAATGGCACCTATCCAAATCTCCTCATCTATTAGTATATATGGTTGATTATTAACTTTATTAATAAAAATATGAAAATAAAAGTAAAAGTGTACAACAAGTTAATTACAATCCCAAACAGACAAAAAGACTAAAGGAAAGAAAATTATAGAAGTAACAGTGCATTTGTTCATTAAAACCTTACTTGATAAAAGGTTTTGTTAGGTCCGTTTTTGTCCTGGTGTCACAAGTGGTGTTGCAACACTTTACTGTAACACTTTTTGTGACATAAAATCTAAAATTAAACCAACAAAACAGTAAAGCAGGAAACTAATGCAGAAACGTAAAGGAAACCAAAAAAATGATATCGCAGTTCGGTACACACAACTACTCTGCGGGGCCACGCCCAGACAATGATCAATCCACTAAGTTCAAAAGATTACAAAGGACCGAACGGTCTTACACACTCAACGACTCCTTCCTTGATGATGTCGTCATTGCCTAGAATCTCCTTAGAAAGCTTGATCAGCGAGCACCACTCGACTTGACGGTTTTCTCCCGAAACCAAAGAAATCTTCTCCCGAAGAACCAACTCGAAAGCGTTCTAACAATTCGTCACAACACATCAAGCGACCCTTAACATTACAATCTCATTCTGATATGGACAAATGCTACTTTTATGTTTTCAGCCCTGTGTGTTCATTACACGTTCTGCCCTCATCATCACAAACCCTCATACCACTTTGTTTTTCATCCAACAATCAGCAACACTCTCCCACCGACAATAAGCACACCCAATCATAGTAAGGTCTCCTCTATTAACCACAAAATCAGGTCACGGCCCCATGACAGTAAAAAGACAATCATTCCTAATATTTCCCACAATTCTTTCTTTAGAAGAGCCAGCCATAATGCTCCAGAAAGTCCACTCTTAATTTGCAGCCAATAAACATGACAACCAAACTTTCTTTAAGAGGACTACCAATTTACAATGCCAACCAATCTTACAATCAATTTGTCAAAAATAAGCCAACACAAAAAATGCACTAACAATCTCCCCCTTTGGCTATTTTTGACAAAACTAACATTACTAACAAAAAGAACCTATTACAAGATAAAAGATAAAAAAACCAACGAAGGGGGTTAATTGAATTAAGAGTTCTCCCCCTTTTTGACAAAAGACAGCCAAAGTTTAAAAATAATACTAATAGAAAAAACCTTTTAGAAGCTGTTGCTCCCCTAGAGTCCTCTACGAGTCTTACTCCCCCTGAATGTAACACTTTCTTAAACTTGATATTATCACCTGTCAAATGCTTGGAGTGACAATTACCACAATACTCAAAGTTAGAAGTACATGCTTTAAAAGAATTATAAGCCTCATGACACCTTAAATCACATTTCCTTACCCACACACGTCTAGGAAATTTGTTTTGCACATCAACCTTCATTTTAGGTGTCCTTGTGAATGCGGAATTTGGTGGATTCATGAGCATACCTCTCTTCAAAGCATTCAAATACTTATAGCATCTTGGTATTATATGGCTAGCTAAACCGCAGTAATGACATATGGGAATAAATCTTTTACGTCGAGGGGGTGAAATAATAACCTTCTTACTGAGGGTTGTCCGAGGTTCAGGAGCGGGTGTCTCCTTCACAAATACTATCTTGGACGTTGAACATTCACCGGTGTAGCCAAGTCCATGACGATCACAACTTGCTTTTCCTATAGAGAGAATATAATCCAATTTGGTGGTGCTGGAATTCATCATCTTTAAATTTTTCTGAGTGCTCTCCAGTTCAGCCCTTATGTCCTGTAGCTTTTTCTCATTTTCAGTAGCTTGAAATTCATAATTAATGGCAGCCCTCTTAAGCACATCCTTGTCTTTAACAAGCTCATCAACTCGCTCCCGTAAAGACTTATTCATTTCACACACTTTAACCCATTTGCTGAACATGGTCTTATAGGATTCTTGTATGGCATCAATAGTCAACTCCTCACCATCACTGTTACTTTCAGAATCTGAAAAATCTCCTATGTTTTCACTGTTCACGGAATCTATTACAGGCAGTGTTGCAACACTGTTTGCGACACTTTTTGTAACACTATCTACATAAACACTTTGATCAATCAGTATAAACATTGAAAGCAACATAGTTACTCACATGGTCTTCATCCTCCTGACTGCCTTCAGAGTCTTCATCACTCCATGTTGCATTAAACGACTTCTTCTTCTTCTTGAGGGTGTTGGCACACTCAGATTGAATGTGGCCGTATTCGTCGCATTCCCGGCATTGAATACCCCTGTTTTTTATCTTCATCTCTATGTTATTTGCTGCAGCTTTATTCTTCTGAAAGTTGCTGGAATTGCCATTTCTTGAATTCTCATTCTTCCTATTGACCTTCTTCATCACCTTGTTGAATTTCTTCGACAACTTTGTTATGGACTGGGCCAAGTCTTCTTCATCATCATAATCAACTTCGGCTTGAAAGGTAATACTTTTCTCCTTCTTTCCTTCCTTGTTTTCATCCAAATTCATCTCAAAAGTGCGCAAAGAACCCATTAGCTCATCAAGTTTCATTGTTTGGATATCCTTGGCTTCCTCAATAGCTGTCACCTTATAAGCAAACCTCCGTGGAAGAGACCTCAAGACCTTCCTCACAAGCTTATCCTCTGATATTTTCTCTCCAAGGGCAAATGCCTCATTAGTAATATCACACAATTTTGAATTGAAATCAGAAATTGTTTCATCTTCAAGCATGCGTAAGTTTTCAAACCTAGTAGTGAGAATTTGAAGCTTTGATAGTCTCACGGCTGCCGTGCCCTCATGCGCCGTTTGTAGAATTTTCCAAGCCTCCTTAGCCGTCTCACATGTAGAAATGAGCTTGAATTGATTGGCATCCACTTCATTGAAGATGGCATTAAGAGCTCTTGAATTGCTATTTGCCAATCAATCTTCTTCAGTAGA